AAGGAGCTGGGATATGAGGACAAGGAGCTGGGATACGAGGACAAGGAGCTGGGATATGAGGACAAGGAGCTGGGATATGAGGACAAGGAGCTGGGATATGAGGACAAGGAGCTGGGATATGAGGACAAGGAGCTGGGATATGAGGACAAGGAGCTGGGATATGAGGACAAGGAGCTGGGATATAAGGACAAGGAGCTGGGATATGAGGACAAGGAGCTGGGATATAAGGACAAGGAGCTGGGATATGAGGACAAGGAGCTGGGATATAAGGACAAGGAGCTGGGATATGAGGACAAGGAGCTGGGATATGAGGACAAGGAGCTGGGATATGAGGACAAGGAGGTGGGATATGAGAACAAGGAGCTGGGTGTATGAGGACAAGGAGCTGGGATACGAGGACAAGGAGCTGGGATATGAGGACAAGGAGCTGGGATATGAGGACAAGGAGCTGGGGTATGAGGACAAGGAGCTGGGATATGAGGACAAGGAGCTGGGATATGAGGACAAGGAGCTGGGATATGAGGACAAGGAGCTGGGATATGAGGACAAGGAGCTGGGATATGAGGACAAGGAGCTGGGATATGAGGACAAGGAGCTGGGATATGAGGACAAGGAGCTGGGATATGAGGACAAGGAGCTGGGATATGAGGACAAGGAGCTGGGATATGAGGACAAGGAGCTGGGATACGAGGACAAGGAGCTGGGATATGAGGACAAGGAGCTGGGATATAAGGACAAGGAGCTGGGATATGAGGACAAGGAGCTGGGATATGAGGACAAGGAGCTGGGATATGAGGACAAGGAGCTGGGATATGAGGACAAGGAGCAGGGATATGAGGACAAGGAGCTGGGATATGAGGACAAGGAGCTGGGATATGAGGACAAGGAGCTGGGATACGAGGACAAGGAGCTGGGATATGAGGACAAGGAGCTGGGATATGAGGACAAGGAGCTGGGATACGAGGACAAGGAGCTGGGATACGAGGACAAGGAGCTGGGATATGAGGACAAGGAGCTGGGATATAAGGACAAGGAGCTGGGATATAAGGACAAGGAGCTGGGATATAAGGACAAGGAGCTGGGATATGAGGACAAGGAGCTGGGATATAAGGACAAGGAGCTGGGATATAAGGACAAGGAGCTGGGATATGAGGACAAGGAGCTGGGATATGAGGACAAGGAGCTGGGATATGAGGACAAGGAGCTGGGGTATGAGGACAAGGAGCTGGGATATGAGGACAAGGAGCTGGGATACGAGGACAAGGAGCTGGGATACGAGGACAAGGAGCTGGGATATGAGGACAAGCAGCTGGGATATGAGGACAAGGAGCTGGGATATGAGGACAAGGAGCTGGGATACGAGGACAAGGAGCTGGGATATGAGGACAAGGAGCTGGGATATGAGTACAAGGAGCTGGGATATGAGGACAAGGAGCTGGGATATGAGGATAAGGAGCTGTGGTATGAGGACAAGGAGCTGTGGTATGAGGACAATGAGCTGGGATATGAGGACAAGGAGCTGGGATATGAGGACAAGGAGCTGGGATATGAGGACAAGGAGCTGTGGTATGAGGACAAGGAGCTGGGATATAAGGACAAGGAGCTGGGATACGAGGACAAGGAGCTGGGATACGAGGACAAGGAGCTGGGATATGAGGACACGGAGCTGGGATATGAGGACACGGAGCTGAGATATAAGAACAAGGAGCTGGGATACGAGGACAAGGAGCTGGGATATGAGGACAAGGAACTGGGATACGAGGACAAGGAGCTGGGATATGAGGACAAGGAACTGGGATACGAGGACAAGGAGCTGGGATATGAGGAAAAGGAGCTGGGATACGAGGACAAGGAGCTAGAATATGAGGACAAGGAGCTGGGATATGAGGACAAGGAGCTGGGATATGAGGACAAGGAACTGGGATACGAGGACAAGGAGCTGGGATATGAGGACAGAGTGAAGGAACGGAGCCCAGCCAAGTAGACCATAGGGAATCGAACGCCGACCCTGCAAGAAGCAATACTGTCCCCACTACCCTGTCTGATTGGGCTGTTAGTGTACCCGTAGCAAGTATCACCATAGATAATGATGTGATCGTTAGCCCTCCTTGAACCACTGATTAACCAGTCCAGACTAAGGATACCTCCCTCTGGGGCAGAGAGAGTGGGGGGGGGGATCTAATTCATATTCCCTTGTTACACACCTATGTACTTGGAACTACAGCTCACTTCCCAGGATTCAGCAGGAATTTCCGTCTTGCGAAACCTGTGCATCTTTGGACACTAATAATGGCTTTGTTTACATTTATTAAGCAGTGTATGAGCTTGGGGGCTTTCCAGTCAATGGTAGTTAAATTGCATACATTGAATTAAGAACGCACACAGACATGATCACACACACACTTAGACATGGAATGCATTAGGCAGTGATGTGGTGGAGGCTGACTCCATACACAGTTTATAATGTAGATATGATAGAGCCCAGTAGGCTCAGGAATCTGTACACCTGTTGATTGACGGTTGAGAGGCGGGACCAAAGAGCCAGAGCTCAACCCGCACTAGCACAACTAGCTGAATACACACTCACACAATGTATGTGAGTGGAGGAGTGTTACTAGTGGAGTACCACAGGGCTCAGTTCTTGCACCAGTAATGTTTATCGTCTACATAAACCAGAATTAATACACAATTACATGAACATGTTTGCTGATGCTGCTAAGATACTGGGCAAGACAGGAGACGCAGACTATTGTAATGTCCTTCACATTAATCTAGATAAAAATAAGTGCTTGGAGCGTCAAGTGGAAAGTGGAATTCAATGTGAATAAATGCCATGTTATGGAATGTGGAATCGGAGAAAATAGACCACACACAACTTATAAATTATGTGGAAAGCCATTATTGATTAAGAACGAGACATAGAGTGTGGTTTTAGATAGTAGTTTCAAAACGTTATATGACAAAGAGTACTGGAAAGACGGGACACCACGAGCGTAGCTCTCATCATGTAACTACACTTAGGTAATTACACTTAACAGAATTAAAACAGGATTAAAACAGAAGAGGACTGTTTGAGGCTTCAAGAAGACCTAGACAAGCTGAAGGAATGGTCAAACAAATGGTTGTTAGAGTTTAACCCAACCAAATGTAATAAGAACATAAGAACAAAGGTAACTGCAGAAGGCCTATTGGCCCATTCGAGGCAGCTCCTATTCTATAACCACCCAATCCCACTCATATACTTGTCCAATCCGCGCTTGAAACAATCGAGGGACCCCACCTCCACCACGTTACGCGGCAATTGGTTCCACAAATCAACAACCCTGTTACTGAACCAGTATTTACCCAAGTCTTTCCTAAATCTAAACTTATCCAATTTATACCCATTGTTTCGTGTTCTGTCCTGTGTTGATACTTTTAATACCCTATTAATATCCCCCTTGTTATGTCCATTCACCCACTTGTAAACCTCTATCATGTCGCCCCTAACTCTACGCCTTTCCAGTGAATGCAACTTAAGCTTTGTTAATCTTTCTTCATATGAAAGATTTCTAATTTGGGGAATTAACTTAGTCATCCTACGCTGGACACGTTCAAGTGAATTTATATCCATTCTATAATATGGCGACCAAAACTGAACTGCATAATCTAAATGGGGCCTAACTAGAGCAAGATATAGCTTGAGAACCACACCAGGTGTCTTGTTACTAACGCTGCGATTAATAAATCCAAGTGTCCGATTTGCCTTATTACGAACATTTGTGCATTGATCCTTTTGTTTTAAATTCTTACTAATCATAACTCCCAGATCCCTTTCGCAATCCGACTTCGCAATCACAACACCATCTAGCTCGTATCTTGTAACTCTATCATCATTACCTAACCTCAGAACTTTACATTTATCAGCATTAAACTGCATCTGCCAATCCTTTGACCATTTCAAAACCCTATCTAGATCAACTTGAAGTGATAGTGAGTCCTCCTCCGAATTAATTTCCCTACCGATTTTCGTATCATCGGCAAATTTGCAAATGTTGCTACTCAAACCTGAATCTAAATCATTTATATATATTATAAACAACAGAGGTCCCAGGACAGAGCCTTGAGGCACTCCACTTACAACATTTTCCCACTCTGAAAAGTGGGAAGTAATGTAATGAAGATAGGTGTAGGGAGCAGGAGGCCAGATACAAGGTATCATCTGGGAGAGGAAATTCTTCAGGAGTCAGAGAAGGAAAAAGACTTGGGGGTTGACATCACGCCAGACCTGTCTCCTGCAGCACATATCAAGAGGATAACATCAGCGGCATATGCCAGGCTGGCCAACATACGAACGGCATTCAGAAACTTGTGTAAAGAATCATTCAGAACTTTGTATACCACATATGTCAGGCCAATCCTGGAGTATGCAGCCCCAGCATGGAGTCCATATCTAGTCAAGGATAAGACTAAACTGGAAAAGGTTCAAAGGTTTGCCACCAGACTAGTACCCGAGCTGAGAGGTATGAGCTACGAGGAGAGACTACGGGAATTAAACCTCACTTCGCTGGAAGACACAACTTTTTTAGTGTTAGAGTGGTTAACAAATGGAATGCATTAGGAAGTGATGTGGTGGAGGCTGACTCCATACACAGTTTCAAGTGTAGATATGATAGAGCCCGATAGGCTCAGGAATCTGTACACCTGTTGATTGACGGTTGAGAGGCGGGACCAAAGAGCCAGAGCTCAACCCCCGCAAACACAACTAGGTGAGTACTTAGGTGCCGGTCGGCCGAGCGGACAGCACGCTGGACTTGTGATCCTGGGGTCCCGGGTTCGATCTCGGGCGCCGGCTAGAAACAATGGGCAAAGTTTCTTTGCCCATCACGTACATGCATGAACGCACATATACACACACACATGAATGAACACACACATGCATGAACGTACATAAACACACACATGCATGAACGCACATATATACACACACATATACCGGCACGTGAGCAAGCTATACTCACCAAGCCTGCCCCCACCACCGCCACCACCTTGCCTCTCCCTCCATCACCACCACCCATGTCTCCGCCACTGATCGATACAAAAACAAAAGTTCTTTTTAGACTCGTAGAACCGCCGAAATGATGGAGTTTACTGGAGGTTGCGGGAGGAGCGAGCGACGAGATCCACCCGCGACGGAGGCTGACGCGGCACTGAACCACTCACGGGTTTACCCCGCTATAAGAACCTTGATGTAAACTTTGTTTTGTTTATATATCTATTTTGTCGTTGTTATTTTTCTTTCCTAGAGTGGTTTACAGTGGGGGCTGTCTGGACACCTTTGTTGCCCTGCTGAGGAGGTGATTGTTGATTGTATACGGATTGGGGCTTTCTGGGAATTGTTTAATATGTGGTAGATATTATTGTGGCCAGGCTTCCCTGGTTCAAGTTCAAGTTTATTGAGAAAGTAAAATACATTTCAAGCGGATAGAGTAGCTTAGCCTACGTCTAGCCTCATCTATATAAGGTCCCTCACGGGGCTCACAAACCCATACTGTACACAACTAATCATATTTTACACTTCACATTCCAATGGTAAACACATACTGTGAGATCCCTTATTGCTTATGCTGCCCCTGTCATGTATTGTTTGGGTAAAGGCAGACTAAACAATATTGATTGATGAAGATTAAGCCACTCAAAAGGTGGCACGGGCATGAATAGCCCGTAAGTGGGGGCCCTTATGAGCCATTACCAGTATCAATAGATGATACTGGAGATCTGTGGAGGTGACTAAACCAGTTTGGGAAGGTACAAAGAGAAGCCAGGAGAATAATCTTGGGATGCCTGAGAAACACTTACTGAGATAATATCTCAGTACACTCAGTACACTCATCATTATCTCAGTACACTCATCATTATCTCAGTACACTTACTGAGATAATGATGATATGAGTGTACTGGCAGAGTATTGGGGATAGTATTTCCGAGATAAATGAAGGTAAATTAATCGACGATTGGATTAATTAGTGTCGAGGGAGCAAATTAATTAATCGTGTCGTGCAGGGTCGTCGTTCGATCCCCTAAGGTCCAGTTGGTTAGGCACCGTTGCCCTTCTCTTTATTATAAAAATAGAAGAAACTGCAGAATGCATTTATTCTCACCCAAACTCATTCATATATGTGTAATTATCTACGTTTGAAGCGATCCAGCCATCTATTATGTCTATTATTTATCCAGCAGTCTATTGTGTTACCCGTAACTTGTTCTTTGGATCAACGAGACTGTTTCCAAACCAGTATTTACCCAGGTATTTCCTGAAGCTAAACCAGTATTTTCCCAGGACTTTCCCGAATCTAAACGTATCTAATTGATACGCACACACACATACATTCAGACGTGTACACGTGGCAACAACTAAACACTCACAGACACGTGTACACGAGCCTTCCACAATCAACAATATCAAATCTCACACAATTTATTGGTAAATGCAAAATTTATTATAATTAGGTTGCGTTGAGCTGTCTGGCAACTTTATAGCTCGTGTTGCCACTATAGTGGTGCTTGTTTTTTTTAGCTAGGACTAGGATTTAAGAGCTAAGAGATAACCTTAGTTCGCCTAATTTAATGTTTTAACTTATAAACTGTTGAATTAGTTTATTACTGCTTTTATTTTGTGTAAACTTTATTAAGAGACAATCTTATAAACTGATTAATGAGTTTATTTCTGTGTTTTTGTTGGTATGAACTTTATTAAGTTAACGTTTTATTTGAAAACTGGTTGTTCAACACGTGTTTGTGTCTGAGTGTGTGACTGTTGTTGGTATTTGTGTCTGCAGGACCGAGCTGTTAGCTCTTGGGCCCCGCATTTCTAACCGTCAGTGGTTTAATGTACTGACTCCCGACCTATATTTTATCCTCTATTGTCACTATACATGTCTTTAACACACACACACACACACACACACACACACACACACACACACACAGAGGGTTCAGTTCTTGCACCAGTGATGTTTATTGTCTACATAAATGATCTACCAGTTGGTATACAGAATTATATGAACATGTTTGCTGATGATGCTAAGATAATGGGATGGATAAGAAATTTAGATGATTGTCATGCCCTTCAAGAAGACCTGGACAAAATAAGTATATGGAGCACCACTTGGCAAATGGAATTTAATGTTAATAAATGCCATGTTATGGAATGTGGAATAGGAGAACATAGACCCCACACAACCTATATATTATGTGAGAAATCTTTAAAGAATTCTGATAAAGAAAGAGATCTAGGAGTGGTTCTAGATAGAAAACTATCACCTGAGGACCACATAAAGAATATTGTGCGAGGAGCCTATGCCACGCTTTCTAACTTCAGAATTGCTTTTAAATACATGGATGGCGATATACTAAAGAAATTGTTCACGACTTTTGTTAGGCCAAAGCTGGAATATGCAGCGGTTGTGTGGTGCCCATATCTTAAGAAGCACATCAACAAACTGGAAAAGGTGCAAAGACATGCTACTAAGTGGCTCCCAGAACTGAAGGGCAAGACCTACGAGGAGAGGTTAGAGGCATTAAATATGCCAAAACTAGAAGACAGAAGAAAAAGAGGTGATATGATCACTACATACAAAATAGAAACAGGAATTGATAAAATCGATAAAAAAGATTTCCTGAGACCTGGAACTTTAAGAACAAGAGGTCATAGATTTAAACTAGCTAAACACAGATGCCGAAGAAATATAAGAAAATTCACTTTCGCAGAGTGGTAGACGGTTGGAACAAGTTAGGCGAGAACGTGGTGGAGGCCAAGACCGTCAGTAGTTTCAAAGCGATATATGACAAAGAGTGCTGGGAAGACGGGACACCACGAGCGTAGCTCTCATCCTGTAACTACACTTAGGTAATTACACACATGTATATACGGAGCTGAGCGGACAGAACGCTGGATGCTTGATCCTGTGGTCCCGGGTTCGATTCCCGGCGCTGGCGAGAAACAATGGGCAGAGTTTCTTTCACCCTGTTACCTAAGAGTAAATAGGTACCTGGGAGTTAGTCAGCTGTCACAGGCTGCTTCCTGGGGGGGGGGGAATAGTAGTTAGTAACAGTTGATTGACAGTTAAGAGGCGGGCCGAAAAAGCAGAGCTCAACCTCCGCAAGCACAACTAGGTGAATACACACACACACACCCAGGAAGCAGCCCGTAACAGCTGACTAACTCCCTGGTACCTATTTACTGCTAGATAACAGGGGCATAGGGTGAAAGAAACTCTGCCTATTGGTTCAGTAACAGGGTTGTTGATTTATGGAACCAATTGCCGCGTAACATTATGGAGGTGGGGTCCCTCGATTGTTTCAAGCATGGGTTGAACATGTATATGAGTGGGATTGGGTGGTTATAAATAGGAGCTGCCTCGTATGGGCCAATAGGCCTTCTGCAGTTACATTTGTTCTTATGTTCTTATGTTCTTATGTTTCTCGCCGGCGCCCGGGATCGAACTTGGGACCACAGGATCACGTGAACAGCGTGCTGTCCGCTCGGCCACCGTCTCCCCACAGGAGTGTGTGTGTGTGTATTCACCTAGTTGTGCTTGCGGGGGTTGAGCTCTGGCTCTTTGGTCCTGCCTCTCAACTGTCAATCAACAGGTGTACAGGTTCCTGAGCCTATTGGGCTCTATCATATCTACATTATAAACTGTGTATGGAGTCAGCTTCCACCACATCACTGCCTAATGCATTCCATTTATTAACTACTCTAACACTGAAAAATTCTTTCTAACGTCCCTGTGGCTCATGTGGGTACTCAGTTTCCACCTGTGTCCCCTTGTTCGTGTCCCACCCGTACTGAAGAGTTTGTCTTTGTCCACTCTGTCAATTCCTCTGAGAATTTTGTAGGTGGTTATCATGTCTCCCCTTACTCTTCTGTTTTCCAGGGATGTGAGGTTCAGCTCCTTTAGCCTTTCCTCGTAGCTCATTCCTCTCAGTTCCGGGACCAGTCTGGTGGCATACCACTGAATCTTCTCTAACTTTGCCTAGTGTTTAACTAGGTATGGACTCCAGGCTGGAGCTGCATATTCTAGGATTGGTTTGATATAAGTGGTATACAGGGTCCTGAACGATTCCTTACACAAGTTTCTAAAGGCAGTTCTTATGTTGGCCAGTCTAGCATATGCCGCTGATGATATCCTTTTGATGTGGGCCTCTGGGGACAGGTTCGGTGTGATATCGACCTTTAGATCTTTCTCTCTATTTGACTCTTGTAAGATTTCACCTCCCAGATGGTACCTTGTGTTCAGCCTCCTGCTCCCTTCTCCTAATTACATTACCTTACACTTTATTGAGTTGAACTTTAGCAGCCATTTTCTAGACCATTCCTCCAGTTTGTCCAGGTCATCCTGTAGTCTCTGTCTCTCTTCATCCGTCTTGATTCTTCTCATAACTTTTGCATCATCAACAAACATTGAGAGGAAGGAGACTATACCCTCTGGAAGATCGTTTACATGTGTGACCACACATGACTCAGTCGTGTGTGTGTGTGTGTGTGTGTGTGTGTGTGTGTGTGTGTGTGTGTGTGTGTGTGTGTGTGTGTGTGTGTGTGTGTGTGTGTGTGTGTGTGTGTGTGTGTGTGTGTGTACTCTTCTCAAATGTCTGGAAGCCATATTGATCCGGCAGTTTAATATTTCATGTTTTTCACTTATGTGGCTTCTCTGTCCACCTACCCCCCCCCCCCTCTCTCTCTGTCTCTCTCTCTCTCTCTCTCTCTAACACCCCCCCCCCCAGGGAGCAGCTGTCTAAGTCATAGGTATCTATTTACTGCCAGGTGAACAGGTACATCAGGTGCAAGAAACTTTGCATATACTTGTTCCTGCCTCGGCCGGGAATCAAACACTGGTCTGTGGACTATGTATCCCGAACACTGTCGGCTCGTCCCCCAGGATACAACCCCACAACAGGCTGACTAACTCCTGTGTACCTAATTACTACTAGGTTAACAGAGGCATGAGGTCACAGGCAACATGCCCAACCGTTTCCGTCCCTCCAGGAGGTCGAACCCGGGATACCCGACTGTGAGTGGAGAACGAACCCGACTGGGTTTACTTTCACAGTTTACCAAGGATTTATTGATTTATTATTTTTCG